TACACTGCTGAGGGGAGCAGCGGGCGGGTCAGGAGAGGTCTGCCACGCCATGTGGTCACCTCCGTGGCAGGCGGGGATCGAACTCATGCGGAAGTGGCTTTAGCTTCTCAGTGCTGTGCTTTAACCCGCTGTGACACCAGGGAGGGCCCAGAACATCACTTTTTAAAATTTTTTCCCAAAGATTTATTTATGCATACAGAACTGGGATACAGGCCAGAAGTGGTGAGAGGATTCACCAGAGACAGAGTGGGGAGCAGAACAGGGAGACGCACGAAATATACTGTTGAGGGGAGCAGTGGACGAATTGTGTGGGTCACCTCCAGGGTGAGATCAAACTTGCAATGAAGTTGGCCAGCTTCACAGTGCTGTGCTTTAACCCGCTGCGCCACCAGGTAGGGCCACCACCCATTTATTTTAACTGTGTTTCTCTCTGGAGCTCAGGTAGATTTCCTTTTAAAGTAGTGCCACTGTGCCACCAGAACACCACTTTTTTCAATTTTCCTTTGGCTTTGATGAACTAATTATTCTTAGATGCAAGCAATTCCGAGCACACATCAGATAGTAACACTTTGTATCTGTGATGTGTGTTTTTGGCTCTATTTTAATTTGCAATTTGTATTAATCCACCCTATAGTAGAGCCCAGGTCTATTGCTAGTGCTCAAAAATATTTGTTGAATGGGTAAATACTGATCTCCTGAAGAATGCTTGGTAGGCTGTGTGCTTACAGTACCTCTGGCAACCCTCTCAACAGGAGCTTTCTTGTCAGCATGGAAGCATGCTGTTGTATGTTAAACCTACATAGTCCCCAGAATAAAAGAGGGGTCTCAGATCTTTATTTTCTTCACTCTCTTTTTGTCCTGCTCTTCTACTACCCGAGGCTGTGGTGACCGAGAAGTGGGGCCGCTTTCTGAAGGGCCACTCTAGGGACAGTAGCACAACCTTTGACTCCAGGTTCCTCTGTGGGGAGTCAGAAAGCTCACACACAGGAAGCATGATGACAGAAGCAGCAGTTGCTCCTGTTTCCTATATATTTCTTACCCAAAACCACTAGGAGCCTCCCCTGCTTTGTCGCGGTTGCTCCCTTAACCTTAACTGTTACATCTCTTCTTGTTACCACCAGTATAAGTGGAAGTCTATTTTTTTTAAAAGATTTATTTATTTGCACATACAGAACTGGGATACAGGCCAGAGGTGCAGGGGTGGTGAGAGGATTCACCAGAGACAGAGTGGGGAGCAGAACAGGTAGACTGACATAGTACACTGCTGAGGGGTGCAGCGGGTGGATCAGGAGAGGTCTGCCACACCATGTGGTCGCCTCCGGGGCAGGCGGGGATCGAACTCATACGGAAGTGGCTTTAGCTTCTCAGTGCTGTGCTTTAACCCGCTGTACCTGCAGGGAGGGCCTGGAGGTCTAGTTTATCAAATGTAACTATGGCTGTTCCTGTCTTAATTTTTTTTTTTAAATATATGATTTGCTAGTAGGATTGTTTTCCACCCATTTATTCTTTATTTATTTATTTTAAAGATTTATTTATGCATACAGAACTGGGGTACAGGCCAGAGGTGCAGGGGCGGCAAGAGGCTTCACCAGAGACAGAGCGGGGAGCAGAACAGGCAGATCTACCAAGTACACTGCTGAGGGGAGCAGCGGGCGGGTCAGGAGAGGTCTGCCGCGCCATGTGGTCTCCTCCTGGGCAGGCGGGGATCGAACTCATACGGAAGTGGCTTTAGCTTCTCAGTGCTGTGCTTTAACCCGCTGTGCCACCAGGTAGGGCCACCACCCATTTATTTTAACTGTGTTTCTCTCTGGAGCTCAGATAGATTTCCTTTTAAAGTAGTAATTTGTGTTTTGTTTTCTGAGCAATCAGCTCCTCTGTTCCTTTAGGTTGGTGAGTTCAGTTCATTTACATATAACGTGATCTTTAGTATTGAAGGTTTGTTACTACCATTTTATCTCTAGTTTTCTGGTTCTGTTGTTTCCTTGCTCAGTTTTTGTGATGAATTTTATTTCCTTTAAATTAGATAGGAGAGCTCCTTCTCTTCTATCTCTTCTTGGGAGTTCTAGTGATGGCAAACTCCATAGCTTCTGTTTATTTGAGATGACCTCTATTTCTCTCTCATATATGAGGAAGAGTCTTGCAGGATATATTGATTGGCAACTTTTGTCTTTACATATTTTGAATATGTTAGTTCATTCTCCCCTAGCACATAGAGTTTACTCAGAGAAATAGAAGTAAAGAGAGACTAGGGATTCCCAGCCATGTGAGCCTATGGTAATACTTTTATAGGCTATCTGTTTTTTCTTCCCCTAGTAACCCTGAATATTCTGTAATAGTCTTAACACTTTATAGTTTTATAGCTAAGTATCTTGGTTTAAGTCCCATTATCTTTAGATTATCAAGTGCTCTTTTAGCTTCATGGAACTGTATATTTAGTTTCTTCCCCCTGGTTTGGAAAATTTTCCCTTATTACTTTTTCGAATAAGCTTTCTGTTTCCTTTCCTCTCTCCTTCTCTTTTCTTGGATACCCATTACTTAATATGTTGTCTTCTTACTGGTGTTGGATAGTTAGTGGAGCGTTTCTTCATTTTTTCCCCTTTGCATTTCTTCATCCACCTGGGTCCTTTGTGCTTTGTTATCTTCAAGGTCATTTATTCTGTCTTACAGTGATATAATTTTCTATAGCTTTCTGTAGAATATTTTTTAAAGATGTATTTATTTATTCATACAGTACTGAGATACAAGCCAGAGATGCAGGGGCGGTGAGAGGCTTCACCAGAGACAGAGTGGGGAGCAGAGTGATGAAGTATACTGTGCAGGGGAGTAGTGGGTAGGTCAGGAGAGGTCTGTGCGCCTTGTGGATCACCTCGGGGTGGGGATTGAACTCACACTGCAGCAGCTGGGGCCAGCTTGCAGTGCTGTGTCCTAACCCCTTGCCCTTCCAGGGAGGGCCCATGTAGAATATTTTTTATCTGCTCTATTGACCTTTTAAACCCCACAACTCCCTTATTTTCTGTTTATTGTTTTTTTTTCATATTCACTTTTAATGTTTTTTTGTTTGTTTTCTCCTTGATTTACTCTTCAGAATTTTACCTTATCATTTTGCCTGGTTTTCTGTATTTCCTTCCTTTTTTTCCAAATTTAATTATGATGGCCATTTTGAACTCTAGCTGATAGGAAGAGAAAATCTTCCATAATTTTGTTCTTGGATTCTAGAGACTTGTTCTCTTGTATTATCATATTCCGTTGAGTTATCAAATTGTCATGCATATGTTTGTATTTTTTTTTAAATCTGTACAATTTTGCTGATTGAGATTTTAGAGGTGTGCACTATTTATACCTTTCCAGCATGTGAGCTGTATTTTTTTTTTTTTAATTTTGGTTGTTTGGCTTTCTCTGGCTTCTGTAGGTCTGAGACTAGTACTGACAGCTTTTGTATCAGTGGGGAGGGGTTTGGATTGTTCAAGCCCCAGTTGTGAATGAATGCAGATGTGGGCAGACTTGTATTTGTGGTACCACCAACAGTCGTGCTATCTGGTTTCCAGACTCGAATCTCTGCACGTTCTCAGTGAGACTAACAAGGTCTGTACCAGGCCCAAAGAGAAGGGGAAAGGCTCAACATACTCTCCTTTGTTCGCTGAGGACCTGGTCTCCTGGGAACACCCAGCTCGTCTGTACACCTTCTCTCTCAGTGAAGGGTGTGTGTGTACAATTGTTCAATTCTCTCCTTTCCAGGGCCTCTGGCCTATCTGCCTCCCACCTCTATATGCAGCTCCAAACATCGATTCCACCCACCTCTTCTTCTCAAGAGAGAGACTCTCCCCCACGGCGCTTCTTGCACAATCTGCCTAGTCTCTAATCTCTAATGTACAACAGCTGCTCTAGGATAGCCTCAGCCTATGGAACTGTCTGGGTACAGTAGATGATCCTTTGGGGGCCAAAGGAAGGGGCCCCTCTTCTGACACAATCTTGAATTTTTTTTTTTCTACTTAAGATTTTGCCCAAATCACTCACTTTCTTTTGGATCTACAGCAGTTATTTTGTTCTCAGGTCTATTATACTTGGAGAAAAGGCGATTTTCAGGGATTCTAAATTAACTTTTATCAAAGAGAAATAAAAAGCTTTAACATCCTAAGCATTTTGAATTTGTCTCAATAGAATCTAGGGCCTATAGCCTAGTCTGTGGCATCTGTTGTTTTGTTAAATTCCTCTCTAGTTAGTGAGTAAACACAAGCAAATATAAGCTTTGTTTAGTTGGAGTGTTACATGTAATTAAGGTAAATTAGTGCTAGTCATTTTCTTGCCTTGAAAAAAAATCACAGTTCCTGTGATGTGCTGCTTAGGAAAAAGACGATCAAGGTCAAAATTAGAAACTCTCATGTTTGAGAGACACAGAAGACTTTAATCTTTAATCCTGCTCTACACTCACAACGCCTCATCTTTGCCCACTGCTGCAGGGGGTGCCCCAGTTGTCAGTGTGCTTGACGGAAGAACCGGAAAATCATATTAAGGCTGCTGCGGCCTGGGCCTTAGGGCAAGTGGGCAGACACACCCCGGAGCACGCGCGCGCTGTCGCCGTTGCTAATACGCTGCCGGTTCTGCTCTCTTTGTACATGTCAAGAGAAAGTTCTGAGGATCTTCAAATAAAGGTAAGTGTTTCACTTCTCAACTGTTTCATGAAGATTTCTTACATTTTGGTCATTATTTAACATACATAATTTAAGTGACTTAACATTTAGTATAGACACTATGGCACTAGTGAGTTAAGGAATATAAATTCAGAATTGAGATAGCGCTTCCGTGACAATGTGTTATCGGTGTCTCTAAAATCAGTTACGCATACATGTAAGTGTACTTACTACCGTGGTAGCATTGTTTCACAATACTGAATATGATTTAGAGTCATAGGATCTCTCCTCACTCACCACCAACACACACAGTCCACTATGCTCCCCTTTGTTTTCTCTCCCCTTTTACTCCTGAGGCCTTCTTCACATAATCAGGTTTCTAGTTTTTTTTTTTTTTTTTTTCAAATTGATTTGGCTTTATCTGACACTTTGGATTCTCTATATTCCACATATAAGTGGTATTTTAGGTTGTACAGACACGTCTTTAATTTGAACCAATTTTTGTTAGTTAGCCTGACCAGAGGTTTTTCAACTTTGTTTACCTTTACACAGGACCAGCTTTTGGTTTCCTTGATCTTTTGTAATGTCTTTTAAAATTTCTATTTTATTTTTAATGTGATTTTTAATATTTCCTTCCTTTTAGTCGATTTTTCTCTTTTATTCTTCTTTGTCTAGCTCCTTAAGAGTAAAGCACAATTATTTATTTGAGAATTTTTTTTCCTTTTAGATTTAGGCTTGTATCATTATACATATACATTATTTACATATACTAGAAGTATTGCTTTTGCTGTGTCATAGGTTCCATTATCTATGTTTTTAATTTTCACTTGTTTCAAAACATTTTTTCAATTTTCCTTTGATTTTTCTCATTGATCCAAAAAATCGTGCAGCTTTGTGTCTTTAGACTCCACCTATTTGAGGTTTTTTCACTTTTTTATGTGGTTGATTACTAGTGATACAATGTGATCAGAGAATATACTTCATAAATCTTCATAAATTTATTGACACTTCTCTGTGACCCAACATAGGTTTATCCTCAAGAATATTTTGAGCACTGAGAAGACTGTATACTCAAATTTTCTGGGGAGGGAGGGGCTGTGAAGTGCCCTTAAATATCTGTTAATTCCAGGTGACTTAATTCTCCTTTTAGGTTATTGTTTCCTTGTTAATTTTCTATCTGATTGATCTGTCCATTGATGTAAGTAAGGCACCGAAGTTTCCTACATTTATTTTGTTGTCAGTGCTTCTAAGTTATTGCTACAAATATTTTAAATAAGTGAACTTAAAGTAGCAAAATAGGTAGAAAAACAGTACAATGCATGGCAACTCTAGATCTCAAGGAAATAAGATATCACAATGAAAGATTTAGTGAAATGTTCACATATTGTAGGATTATATTTTTATGAATTGTTGAGAAAAGTCAAATTTTTAGTGACATCAAGTCCTTAGGGGAACTTCCCTTCTCCCACTCTTGCTCCCAAGCTCAGTGTGGACATGAACAGGTGTGCCACCCTATGAAGTGTAATGCTACCTATGGGCATACCCTGTGGCCTGTGCCTTCTGGGTAGTACTTCAAGCAGAGGCAGAAGAATTACACCGAGGAGATCTTAGCTTTGCGTGGCCAAGCAAATAGCGATGCTTCTGCCCAAACTGAACAAGATTTGGGGGTGGGGGGAAGGGAATACTGCCTCTTCCAGAAGCTGCCTAAGATTGGAATGCTGGAAGTTTACTTTCAGAAGGAGACATGAACTGAGCTGAGAGGTAAAATGTGTAAAGAGCTTTGGGCAGGAGAAACAAGTCACAGCAGTCCTTTCATGACCATTCCATTTGCCTTCTCTCCCAGCTCTCCTTCCTAATATGCATTTTTGGCAAAAACAGATAGTGAGTTAACCTCAGGAGAGGGTGACATTTGAGGATGTGATGGAGGACTTCTCCTGGGAAGAGTGGCAGGACCTAGGTGATGCTCAGTGGACTTATACCGGGACATGAGGCTAGAGACCTAGAGCAGCCTTGTTATGGTGACATTGCATTGCCAAACCTGAGGTGATCATCAGGTTGGGGCAAAAAACAGAGCCATGGACTGTAGAAGCACCCCCAAACCAGAGCCTCTCAGATATCCAGATTCTGGACATTCTGATTGAGACAAACCAGGAAAATCAGGGCATGTTTGTGCCAAGTTGTAATCACCATTAGTGAAATATTATCTAAGGAGAGAACTGACTTTCATAAAACATTTAATTTGAGCTCCACCCATATTTCAAACTTGATTATAAATAATGGAATCCATTTGAAAACAAGAAAGTAGAAGAGCGGTTGCTTGGGGCTGGTGGGGTAAATGGAGAGAGGAAACAGGGATTGACTATAAAGTTTCCTCTTGGAATGATGAAACGTTCTAAAATTACACTGTCATGCTGATTACACAATTTTTGTAAATTTACTTAATATTCATTGAATTGGGCACTTATAATGAGTGAATTCGTGGAATGTAAATTATATCTCAATAAAGTTGTTAATAATTCTTAAATCCAGATAAGTAATTAACTGCTATGCTAATAATTCATTCTGAGTAACATAGCTAATTATTAATCATGACATATATTCTAAAAGTGTAGAGTTGTAAATTGAGTTTATTTCCTGACAAGCAATAGTAAATTCAGTGAGTTTCTGTTGTAATTAGAGTCCTTTCTAGAGTTCTTGATTAATAACTTGATAGTACATCACCAACTTGGAACTGTCAGAATTTGAGTAAGCTGGTCGCCTGGTATAGTGGCTGTGACCTCTGCTATGCTGTTAGTAGACTGTGTCACCCACAGAAGTTAAGTTAAATTGATGGCCTGCTAAGATCACCATGATCCTAGGATAGTTCACAAAAGTATAACTAGGTGTTTGGAGAATCAAGAGTTTTATTCTAATTTATACTACTATAGGGGAGAAATTGGACTGCATTTCTTAAATTCCTTTATTTTTCTAATTAGTTTATAAAACAATGTTTGAGGATTAATGTGTCAAGAGATAAGAGGTAAAACTGGATAGCCTGGGTCTCTGGGAAACCATAAATCCAAGAAATCCTTTACTGATAACATCAATGTAATAACAGTTTTTGCTCAAATCATTTATCAATTGTAGACTTCATTATGTAGAAATCAGAATGTGCCTTGACATTCCAGGAACACTGCTAATTCAAAAGCAGGATCTCAGAAGACTAGGCAGAGTAAAGCAGAGAGAGTAAGTAATTAGACGAAAGGCAATAAGGATGCAATAGAGGATAAAACCACGAAACAAGCAGATATGGAATTCTAGAGGGAAGCAATTATAGACAAACCCAATTGTGAAGCTTTCCAAAGTGCAGAGGGCAGGCTTTAATACAAAGGAACAAATAACAAACAGCCACGGCCTCAGCCTGGTTACAGTGATATGCATCAGGAGCCTTCGCCAGCCATACTTGTAGCAGACGCACCACATGGTGTCACCATGAAATACACAAGAGTGTGGGGGGACAATGGGGAAGGTACCTGTGCTTTTTGCTTGCAGGTGACATATGTCTTTTTGTTGAATTTACTTTACAGTTGAATAAATCTTCTCTGTTTTGCTTCTGTCTGTGAATGAGGCAATTTCTACTTATGACTTATGCACACAAGACTTTTTCTAACTGCATACTTAATAACCATGAAACCTTCTGGAGAACATAGCCTGACTGACAAATATCTTTATTTTTTAAAAAGATTTATTTATTTATGCATTTAGAACTGGGGTACAGGCCAGAGGTGCAGGGGCGAAGAGAGGATTAACCAGAGACAAAGCAGGGTGCAGAGCAGGCAGATCGACGAAGTACACTGCTGAGGGGAGCTGTGGGAGAGACAGTAGAGATCTGCCGTGCCATGTGCATCACCTCCGGGGCCAGGGATAGAACCCTCACTGAAGCGGCTGCAACTCGCTTGCAGTGCTGCACCCCAACCCATTGTGCCACCATGGAGGGCCGACAAATATTTTTTAAAATGAAAACTTCAGATTAGATTAGCAAATCGATTTTAAGAACATGAGATATGAATTTTTGTGACACTTTCATTGATTACTTATGTGATGCTTTCACTGATTACTTGCCATTGGTATATGTTTTTCTTTGTACTTTCACTAGAGTAAAAAGGCCATAAAGAATATCCTACAGAAGTGCACCTATTTACCAGCACTTGAGCCATTTCTGTATGATGCGCCTCCCAATATTCTGAAACATGTGGTTGGACAGTTCAGTAAGGTAACAAATGTTCTCTTAGCTTGAAAGTGGGGTAAGAAAGTGAAATGAATTATTTACTTGTTTTTTCTGTCAACTTCCTAAATTTTACTGATTGTGTTGACAATAACCTAGTTGATAAAACTTACATGTTAATAAAATCCATACATAAATGAATCACACTTTTTCTTCCTCATACTTTCCTTACTTCCTCTGTACTGTTTTTTTCAGTGTTCTTAAGGAGTAAGTAGTATGTTGACATATACAGGTAATTTATATGAGCAGTTTTAGCAAATAAAACTGCCATATTATTGTAGATCTTTGATAGTAGAAGCAGTAAGGTAAAAATGAAGCTGCTGTGGGTGGGAACAGCCAGCTACTGATAGTAAAGACTGAAAGAGAATAGCCATGAATGGCCAGGATGAGCTAAGCTATCAGGAAGTGATTAAGTTATCCTCAGCAGATCTGATGCAAGAAAATGGGGTCTAAGTTGTATCCCTTATTGCCTGGGCCTACATTCTTTTTTTTAAAGATTTATTTATTTTTGTGCATACAGAACTGGGGTCCAGGTCAGAGGCTCAGGGGCGGTGAGAGGCTTCACCAGAGACAGTGGGGAGCAGAACAGGTGGATCCACTGAAAAACATTGCTGAGGGGAGCAGCTGGTGAGACAGGCTCGGGAGGTCTGCTGTGCCATCTAGGTCTCCTCCCTGCCAGGGATTTAACTCATGCAGGTCATTGAACTCATGCCACAGTGGCGGCTGATAGCTTGATAGCACTATGTCTTTAACCCCTGGTAAAGGGGTTAACAACTAGGGAAGCCCTGTTTAATGGTCTTAATTTTTCTTAATCTTAGTATAATTACACATAAAGTGGTGATTATAAAAGTATTATTTCATAGGGTCATTGCCAAGATTAAATGAGATGTTATTTAAATGTTAGATACATATTAGACACTTAAACATTCCCCCCATCCCTTAAGCAACTCACAAAACCTTTTAAAGTTGTTTTTAAGAAATAAATTGTTGAAGTATTTAAGGCTGATTTTTAAAAGGTAAAAAAAATAAATGAGGGTCAACTTATTTGAATAGTTACAATGCTATATGATGGGGTTTACTTCTGTTTGTATACCATATGTATGCAAAAAAGCAAACAAACCAACTGTATAGCATTATGTCAGTTAAGTAGGTCTAGTTTTAGTTACTCATCTGAAAGACAGATTAAGAGTCATTGGTTTTCTAAACACCTTTCATGGTCTCAGTGGCTTGGTTGGTATTCAAACACAATAGCTATTAGAGTTTACATTGCTGAAGCCATGTCAGGATACAATTCTTTGAATCAAATACCTACATCCTGTCTTCTTCCTTCTATGAAAATGAACTATTTTTTCCTCTTAGTTATATGAAATGTAGGAGTCAGAAAAGCAATGTCCCTTGAAGAAAGAAACCAAGCAACTAACCCCCAGAAACCCCCCAAATGACTAAATTATGGCAAAGGGGAAATTAATCTGAATCTTCACTTTTGTGTGCTTTTATGTGCTAAGTAATAAACTCACCAGATAAGCTAATTAGCTAAGAGGATTCTAGTTTTACCAAACTTGCTACACTAACCTGTATTTAGAGTTCAGAGTGACTTACTGAAGTAAATAAAAATGAAAAAGTGGATTTGTGGAAGTTAGACAATCAGGATGAATTAAAGTCAGTACCTCATATCATATTCTACGTAGGTATGTTCAGGAATATTTGCCTTAGGCAGAATTTTGTGTTTTCTTAATCTGAGCTAACCAGACCACTAGATGATGGGAAAGAAAAGCAAAAGTAAAAAAAGGCAATAGAAAGATGAATTAATGAGTAGTTCACTGCCCTCAATGACACTTGTGTCATTGATCAGACATATAACTCTGATCATTAAAATACTGCACCAATAGGGTTTTAACAAAATGCTAGGAAAGAAGAAAAGTGTCTAACTTATGCTGGGATAAGAGCCCAGGGGTGTCCCCCAGAGAAGTCTTACCAGAGGTGATATCTGAGCTGAGTCTTAAAAGATGAAAAAGGGTTAGCCAAACAAATTAGGGTGTGAAGGGTGAGAGGTCATTCTAGGAAGTGGAAAATGCATGGATAAAGGCAAGAAATATCCCAGCATGCACACTTTAAGGTCATTGAAATAAAATTTAGACTAGGAATTGGTGGGAAAGGAAACTAGAGAAGCATTTAGAAGTTGTATTTGCAGAGTTCTATGTGCCTTGATAAGGAGCTTGCCTTTAATTTTTATGTAGTAGTGAGAGCTTGAATGGGTGTACATAAGGGAGGACTCAGCTTTACATTCTACATACGTACTGAGGGATCTCCTTTGCTCATGTTCAGCCTTTATTTTATCTCCATAATATAAAAAGGTAGTCGTTTCTAAAAAACTGCACTTTATTTCCAATCATCAGCAAATTTAGACTCATTATACTATAAGTATATTGGAAATAAATTCTCTTTTACATTTACATTTCCTCAGCAGTATTACTACTTTTCAGTAATGGGAATCTAACTTGAAAAAGGAAAGCTGACGTTTTAAAGTGTTTCTCCTTTCAAGGTGCTGCCACATGATAGCAAAGCTCGGAGACTCTTTGTAATAAGTGGCGGACTTAAAAAAGTTCAAGAGATAAAAGCAGAACCTGGATCTCTCCTTCAGGAATACATCAATAGTATTAACAATTGTTACCCAGAAGAAATAGTAAGGTGAGAAAAATAGATCTTGAGAAGTTCAAAAATGATAATGTATTTTTCTATTTTCAAGTCTAGGTTTTATATGCATTGTGCCTAAATGTGGACTTTTTAATACTACATGAGACCAGTGATAACCTTTACTTCTATCTTGATTTCTTTTTTCTCAAATGAAATAATGTTCTAATTGACACATTCTTTTCCAAATCAGGCTAGAATGTCATTTGAGACATTTCTGTACTAATTTAGCCCATATTTTACTAAGGAGTACCCAAAATGCAGAGCTCCAATTTCATTAACATTTGTTACTGGGAACCTGACTTAAATGGGCTTATAGATTCTGACTTTTTAAAAATAATCCTTGTGTATTATTTTTCTGCCTAAAGCCCACATGTGGGAAAAAATGTTGTGATGAAAATAAGTTACCATAGATAGCATAAAGATGCCATTCTATACAGTCTGACTGGTGAATTCAGGCCATTCACATTTAATGTGATTATTAAGACATAAATGCTCATTGCCATTTTGTTATATTTTTATTTGGGGTGGGTTGTATTGTCTTTTTATATATTTTTTGATCTACCTTGTTTTTTATGTTACTCCTATTTTAGTTTGATGATGGGTTATTTGTGTAAATGGGATAGCTGGTTTCTGACTTGTGCTATTGGGTCATATTGTTACTCTCTCCCTTTTTTCTCTCATGTCAAGTGACTCACATGTCAGTTGCCTCTATAATAATTGTAATATTGCTTTATAATAGCATCTTCAAAATTTCTTTAATGTGTGGCTTGGTGTTAAATTCTTTTAGCTTTTGCTTTACAGTGAAGCTTGTTACTCTTCCTATTACCTGTATGATTTCAGGTAAATGTATTATAGTGAATCTTTTGTGTATACTGTGCTGAATCATTTCACTAAAATCTGACAGAAAATTTTCTTTTATAGGTACTACTCCCCTGGATATTCAGATACACTTCTGCAGAGAGTAGACAGCTATCAACCACTTACTAACTAAATGAAACTATGCTTTTCAACTTGAATTCTCAGCAGAGTATTTATGAATAACAGTTGTTAAATCTCTTTCTAAATATATGAACTAAGTACATTCTAAATTTATTCAATGTGAAATGCCTTTTAATATTTTCTAACTGTCTAATTCTTAAAAAATAGTAGCTTGACTTTATTAAAGAACTATTCTTGATCATTTGTGCAGAATTTGCTCAAGAGGTAGATCTTAAAAAGACATTAAAGTATCTGTAAGGGTTTAAGGCATCTGTAATTACTACATTAAAGTACTCACAAAGAAACATATAACATTCCAGCTAGGTATAAATAAAAAATGGTGTTCAAAAATTCTTATCAGTTATTTAGGCTAGGTACTCATAGACATAGGCAGGGAAAACTGGTCTTGCAAATCCCACAGTAGGATATAAAAGGGAAACAGATGGTAGAGGAAACTAATGTCAGAAATGCAGAGCACTTGAGAGGCTTTGATGCTGCTTACATAAATGCATTAACCCAACACAAAGAATCTATGTATAATCAGACTGTTTTCCCTAGGGACTTTGGAAACTCCTCTCAAGTTTTCTAAAGTCTTTTCTCATCCTACCTAAACTGTTCCCTACTTTTTATGGGTTGACAAAGGTAGAAGTAAATACTAAGCATTATACTACTACAGCCATGCTTTCCTTTTTTATTTAAAGTTTTCTTAGTCTAGTTTTACTCACAAACACAGAAACAGGAATGTAAATGGGTCCTTAGTATTCCCTTGTCTAACTTCACTTTCCCAAGTTTCAGAAGCCACATTTTCTGAAATTCAAGTTATAATTTGAAATGAACCATGAGGGTCAGATTTAGTATGCATTGTCATCTAGGGAGCTGAAAAGGGGTAAGGAGAAGTTTTAATAAATTTTTGAATAAAAACATTAGAATTGTCCTTTTTGTCCAGTCTAGTGTGGTTTTGACTTTGGGAAATGTAATTAGACTTGAGAGTCTTGGGTAGGTGGCAAATGGTATCTTTTGATCTAAAGGAGCAATCTTTACCATCACTCCCCTGCAGGCCTAAGGCTAAGGTGAGTCATAACCAGAGGAGCCCATAGGCCACAATATTTCCAATCTGGTCAGTTTTCAGTATCCTTTGTTTGGCATTTTCTGGATTTAGCTCTGGCGTCATTTCCTAACAGTGTATCACCTTGTTGCATCTTTTTTTTAAAAAAAAACTTTTATTTATGCATACAAGAACTGGGGTGTGGAACAGAGGTATGGGTGGGGTGGTGGGGGTGAGAAGATTCACCAGAGACAGAGTGGGGAGCAGAACAGGCAGAACAATTGAGATACACTGTTGAGGGGAACAGCGGGTGGGACAGGAGAGGTCTGCTGTGCTATGGGGGTCAGCCCCCTGGCTGGTGGGGATCGAACTCATGCTGCAGTGGCTGGTGGTAGCTTGACAGCATTTAGGCTAATCCCTGCACCACCAGGGAGGAGACCTCCACTTTGTTGCACATTTTAATCTTCATCATACACAAGATTGTCCTTTTTTTTTTGCCTTCTATTAGTCTGAGAGAGTTATGGTTTGAATTTTTTAAACTTCATTGGCTTTATTTTGTTCCCTTAGAGCAACTGCTTTGACTCTTTGGATAAGAAAATATAATTTTTATTTTGAAATTTTCAGCTTTCTTTCCTGCAGCCTGCCCATTTGTCTTATGGACCACCTTTCAACAATTTGAGAAAATAAAAAAAATATTTTCATATTTTTTCACAAGGACCATTTTGTTAAAGCAGAAATGAGTCCATCTGGAATAAAACCCTCCTTAGATATTATGGATATGATCAGTTTCCCACAGTTGACCATTTTATATTAAAGTTTTCCAGTCATACACATAATTTCATATTTATCAAACAAATTACACTAAAACAAGTGATAAAATATTTAATAGTGCTTGCATGGGTGCTATAACTTGCTCATAAGTATTTCAGTTTATGCAAAAGGAGGCTATATTTCCATGACAATTTTTTAAAGACACACAAAAAAACCTTTCTATCTTAGAGCAGAAGTAGTATTTCTCCTTTATGGTATATTTTTTTTTAATATTTTCACTGTTGGAAGTCCATCAATTCTAATTCCTTGGGCAGAGTGGCCCCTAACCCCTGCAGCTTATTTAAAAGTCAACTACTATTAGAATATCTCAGTTTTATAAGCTATTTTTAGAACTTCAAGAATAGAATTGGTTGAGTCTCATTGGATGAACCTGATTAGTATGATTAAATTAACCGATTATGGAAATGTAAATTGGTAATTTGGGAAAAGAGATGTTGAAAATCTGGTTTCTGGGTCTAACTGTTAAAAGAGTCTTACTCAACTTACTCAGAAGGGATTTAAGGAAATAATCTGCAATGATGCATCTAACTATTTTTGTAAACTGTTCCATTCTGGTAAACTAATGTGTGATGTATGGACATTCTGACAGGTGACATGTCTTGGCTAACTATTGGGCAGTCAGGCCTATGCGCTTAGATGAATGGGGTTTAAATTAGGTGGTTTATGATTTAAAAATGCAACAATCCCTGACCTCATGGAGTTTTCCAATATGAACAAAATTACCCCAGACATAGGGAGTAAAACAGGCACAAGACACTGAACACAAAATAGGCATATTTAATTTTGATACATAAAAACAAATGACCACCTTATTTTTTATAGGAGGTTAAATTGTTTTCCTGACCTTTTATTTTCAAACCACCTCTTTAAAGGAAGGATTAGAGACTTGTTTCAGGTTTGATTTGAGGTACTACTGAACATAAACCCTGACCTTAAGTTCCTGGGTGAGGCTATTTCTAATCTAAGATGTTAAGCTTACAAACTAACCTTGAAAGAATGAATGATTTGTCTGTTGTGTTTCCAAGTTGCCAATTCTTTAATTAAGTTAGGTGCTGGCAAAAGTTGAGGCTTCTGTATACTTATTTTGGCTTATTTTGTTAGAGAATTCACTGTCTAGAAAATATTGGTAGCTATTCTCTTTCAGAGCTTACGAGATCAACTGTAAGATCAAATATCATTACTATATTTTTCCAGTTGGTTAAGAGACATTGGATTTTTAAAATTTGATTCTTAGACATATTCAATGATCCTGCTTTAAAGAATGGTGAGTTTAACTGTAGTTGTAAAAATTCAATAAGTTTTAAAATTTAGACATATATAAGGATGTAGAAAACAGTAAAAACTACTGCAAACTATCATCACCTAGTAAATAATTGTCCTCAACAAGTTAACATAGTTCTAAATACCTCTCTGAAACTTTGTACAGTCAGAAAAAAGAATCTAAAAAATAAGTTTAATTGCTGTTTTATAATAAAAAACCAAAAGTTAAAACAGTTTATTTCATGGAAGATAGAGTCTTGCTTTTTTTGTTCAGAATTATTATTTCAGTAGGATTAGGGAAAAGATATCCTTAGTGGTAAATTAGGAATCAACATAAAATATTTATAAATGGTCTCCTTTTATTAATAATTAACTAGTATTACCATAGAAAGTTTAAACTGTTACTTGTGGCTTCTCAGTTTTGCAAAACTGAATAAAGGATATTATACTATGCCATTTATGTTATATTATGCCTCTAATTTTCTTTATATATAAAATTTATGGTAATGTGGGCCCTCCCTGGTGGTGCAGCAGGTTAGAGCACAACACTAAGAAGCTAAAGCCACTTCAGCATGAGTTTGATCCCCGCCCTGGCAGCAGACCTCTCCTGACCCGCCCGCTGCTCCCCTCAGCAGTGTACTTCGTTGATCTGCCTGTTCTGCTCCCCATTCTGTCTTGAGTGAATCCTCTCACTGCCCCCGCACCTCTGGCCTGTACCCCAGTTCTGTGTGCATAAATAAATAAATCTTTTTTAAAAATTATGGTAATGCACTACTATTAAAATTTATACTAAAGTAAAATGTACATTACTGATGGCAAATGTTTATTCCAAGTATCTTTGTATATAAAGACATCCAACTCTGAGAACTATATAATGGATACAAAGTTCTCTTTTTTTGAATTTCTATAGATTGTATAGTTTAAATATCTATAGATTATAGAGCTTAAATTTCATCATTCCCCCATTTTATCCCCCCTAACTCAACTGTGACCTGTTTTACACAGCCCAGTGAATGACCTTGTTCCCTTCAGTTACCAGTGACACCAGCACATGTTCAACACACAGTGGAGCTTGCAGCAGGCTAGACTGAGCAGCAGGGCAGCTGGGCGCTCTCTCTGCCTCTAGGGCTGGACGTTCATTAAGAGCAACGGTTAGTGCAGAAGAGCAAGGCTCTAGAGCTAGGGACCTGCAGTAGCATCTCCAAACTACTACAAACTAGCTGCCTCTGACAAGTTATTAGTAGCACTCAACTCATTTCATTAAATCCTAATGATTAAACAAGGGTGAGTGAGTGCAAGACCCGGCACACAGTGAGCAGTGCCGCCTCTAGCCTGTAGACCTCTGTGTAACTGGAAAGAGGCACATGGTCCTGAAGTCACTTTACTTCCAGCTAGTAGAAATTATTGCAATAGTATGATTTTAGTAGAGCAAGACACTTTACTGCACCTGCTGGAAAATCCCCTTGATGAATATGCAAATCATGATGTCCACAATGTGAACCACTCCCCTTCCATGTGCTGGTGCTCACTTCGAGTTTCCCTACCTGAGTCCAATTTTCAGATCTGGAACCCATTCACTTAAGACTGAAGCTGGAGCCTGAGGCACCACAGTGATGTATTCAGTGGTTATTTCCCAATCATTCAGAACACTGTTCGAACCCTTTTACCCAGTGGCCGAGCCCTGCAGCAGGTCAAGGCACCAGAACAAAAGCCCTATCATAGAACTCATTAGCCCTGTGGTACTTGAGGGATCAATCCAGGGTTGGAAAAGTTGCCAGGTGGTTATGAGTGATCACCTCTGTGAGAGCTACAGCACAGACTCCTCAGACTCAGGAACAAGCTGCTATCATTGGTAGTAAACTACAAGGCACCATTAGAAAAGAACTTCTTGGAGACTAGTGG